TTATTAAAATATTAAAAGCAACACCTCGCAACAAACGTATACGGGCTTACAATTTGCACTTACTTATCAATAATTATTATACTAATTTCTGAATTAGTATTGATTAAAATACCATTATTGCAATGTTTAATGAAGTTCCTAAGAAGTTAATTTCTAATTTAAAAATATTATACGAAGTTAAAAAAACATCTATTAACGAACATTCTTTTAAACCTTTCTGTTCGAACTCTCGGTAGTTCATACTCATGTCCGCGATTGCGTAATTAGCAAATATTCTGTTTTAACGCCATCAACAACGACTCGTTGATACCTATTAGTTAGGAAATTGATGGTAATGGTAATGGTAATGGTAATGGTTTATTAACACATTTAGTAGTAGTTACGCTAATTTACAATGTGTTTACAAATTTGGGTATAAAAATGTATATATATATTATATATTTACATGTCATTCATTAAAATTAAAGTTTTACTAATCTATATCTATTTACAATATGTATAAAAACTACTAATGCATACCTATTTGTACATTAACTGATAAAATTTTAAAAATGATGATCCTAATCAACTAATCTAGAATTATATAAGTATATACAGTAAACTAAAGGACTGTGTTTAAAACGTTCGGTTTTAGAGGGGAAATTATACAATTTCTGACTGTTAGTTCTTGTTTCTTTTTGCCTAATGTATTTTAGTTTCTTTGGTAAGAGGCTATGAAGTTTATGGTTTGGTTCCAGCATTTTTTTAATTAGAGATACACATAATTCGTCCCTACGTTCTTCCAAAGTTTGTAATTTTGTCTCAGTTATTGCTTGGTCGTAGTCTAGGTTTGGGTAAATTATTCTAAGTACTCGTTTTTGAATTCGTTCAATGCTCTTTTTCTGCTTTTGGGTTAGACCTCCGTTCCAAATCTCTGCACCATATTCTAAAATAGGACGAATTACCGAACAGTAAAATACTAACAAATCATCCATGGGGCACCATAACTCTTCAAGATCTTTAATAAATACAGACGCTTGGCCGCTTTCTTTGTAATATATTCCGTATTAGTTTTCCATTTAAGATCGCAATCTAACCATATTCCCAGTAACTTATATGACTTCGTTCGAGAAACATTATGGCCACCAACATAAATTGGGGGTATAGAGGTTATATTTTTCCTAAAGTCAATAATCATCTCCATACACTTTTTATAGTTTAGTTCCATTCCTTCGTCCTTTGCAAACTGTACCACCTTGTCTACGTTCATTTGAGTATTACCGATTGGGATGCCACCTAAATGGTCACTGACATTGATTACTTCCGATAATGTTGTGTCATCCATAAACATCGCTACGTCCTGGTCTTCTACGGCATTACATATTTGATCTTGGTTATTGGGTATAATAGACGTTGGTAATTGGTTTATTTTTATTATAAACGCAATAGGACCCAACTTACTCCCTTGTGGAACGCCTCCCTTGATTCTTTTACAATCAGACTGTTCTCCATGGAAAGACGTTACTTGTGATCTGTTATAAAGATATGATGCAAACCAACCAACCACAGCTGGACGAACGCCGATTTGCATAAAATTTTCTAGCAGCACATTATGATTGATCAAGTCAAATGCCTTTCGAAAATCAAGAAACGTAATACGAACAATTCTTTGGGGGCTTTCCATTGCCATATGCCATTTATGTAACAAATAAATCAACGCATGTATTGTAGATGCTCCAGGCAGACCGCCAAATTGACTGCTACTGATTTTATCATAAACATCCTCATAAATCCAATCATTAACGTATGATTCTTGTACCTTTGATAATGTACTCGTTAATGAAATAGGTCTTAAAAGGTCTACCCTAGAGCAGGGTTTACTTTTAGGAATCCCACACACCCTCGAAATTTTCCAAATATCTGGGAATACTCTGCAAGTAAATGATTCGTTAAAGATGTAACATAACGGCTCGGCGAAGTATTTTGCGAATGTTTTTATTATCTTTACATTCGGGTCGAACGGACCGCTTGCTTTATTCGGGTTAAGTTTACTTAATTTATTTGCTACACTATCTGCGGTGATGTTCGGTAGTTGTTCTTCCATTCCAACATTAAGCCAGCTATCATGTACTTCCGAGTAGTTACTAGTAAGACTAGTAAAATATTCGTTCATCAGATTAGCTGTGTCTTTTGAATTTAGTGGGGTATCAGACTGTGGGCCATTTAGAATAAATTCCTGTTTACTCTGTCCAGTAATGTTTTTTATATTTTTCCACCACTGCTTTGAATTGGAACAACGAGCAGGTTTGATTTTTTCACTGTAATATTTCTGCTTCTCTTTCCGAATTTCTGAGGTAATTTTATTACGAAGCGATCTGTATTCTTCCATTCTCCCACGTTGGTACATTTTATTTCTGTTAGATATCATTTGTTTAATCCTCCCAGTCATAAAGGGTTTGTCATCTTTATGGACCTTGACAATTTTTGTTGGAAAACAGTTATCAATCATTGCATTAGTAATCGATAAAAAGGCGTTCACTTTGGTGCTAATACACGAGGCCTCGTAAACCGCTGACCACGTCTCTAGACCGATACAGTCTTCAAACAAGCGCAACCTCGTTTCTTTAATGGGTCTCACTGTAATCTTTTTTATCTCATTTTTAGCCCGAGCTTGTTCTTTCGATTTCCACATAATAGCGCTGTGGTCTGAACAGCCAATCGGTGCCAGAGATACTGGTGTTTCATAAAACGAATGTGCATTGGTCAGGATTAAGTCTAGAATTGCGTTACCTCTGGTTGGTGTTCTGATTACTTTTTTTAACTTACAATGATTTTTAAGGACTCTTTCCTGAAATCCATTACTAAGGGATTAAAATCTCCAGTAATAATAATTGATGTATTTGGACTCTCGCTAATAAGAGAATCGTAACAATAGCAACAATATTCATAAAAACTTTCAACTGCTTCGGTATTCATCGACGGTGGCAAGTATACACACGCAAGTGCAAGTTTTGAAATTTTTCGTGGAAGCCATTTTGGTCGGAGAGTAATCCACAGACATTCATAGTCCGAGTTGTAAAAATCTGGACGAATTTTGAAAGGAAGTGATTTTCTTATATATACGGCCACGCCTCCTCCTCTTCGAGTTGGTCTATCTTTCCTAACTATGGTAAAATCAGGAATATGTAAGGCCTCATCGGGAATAACATCCGTAAGCCAGGTTTCAGTAACCATAATTACGTCCGCATTTTGTTGGTTAATTATAATCATCAGTTCGTCTATTTTGTTGAAAAGAGATCTAGCATTAAAAAGCAGTATATTTGGTAAAGTATGTTTAATATTCTGACGACTAGGTCTTGAAATCGGAATATTTACCAAATTATTTCTAGGTGCATTCTGCCTGCAGTTGTGTTTACGTGTATTGGTAATTCGACATGAATATATTGTGTTTACGTGTATTGGTAATTCGACACTATTACTCGTTGTGACGGGACTTCTGTAAGGTTTTCTCTGAGTTAGACGTACATTAATTGGTTGGGATTTATAATTGCCAGTGTAATCATTTAAAAATAGGAGTAGGGTATGCTCATTAGTGGCCGTAGGAGCTGTCGATTTTGCGGCATCGCCGTCGGTGGGCATCGATTCAGACCCATCGGAGTGGGGATTTGTTGGAAACCGGTTCCATGAGTTATATTGAATTTCTGCAGACCCACCTCCACCTGTCTCAATATTGACTTGATGCTTTCCAGCGGTTCTAAAAAAGCCGGATTTTCGTAATAATTGGGATAGTGCCGTTGTTGAAAATGGGTGGTTTTGTGAAAAAAGTCGCACTTTTCGCCTTTTAAACAGCTTCCCTTTCTTTCTAGGAAGGGGCATGGGGTCAGGTGCTTGGGTTTAGAAAAGATCTGATGTTCTTTGTTATTAGATTCCAGATTCGAATGGGAGAAGTCACAATTGACTCCTTTAGTGCAATGGCCACGGCGGAGAAGGAATGGACATGGGACAACACTCTTAGGTTTTTGAGACGCACATTCGGAATTAGGCTGTTTATCTGTACTAGTTCTGTCGGGATGGCCAGACACAGCCACTCCTACAACGGGGTTCATATTTTCATTTCTTGTATTCGGGCCATTCGGTTCTTGGAATGTTTTATCCAATTCGACCAATTCAATTATTTTATCATGTTGCTCATTTTGCATGGGGTTTTCATTTTGTGTGCTTTCGCAATGCGTTGTTTGGTTTGAGACTTCAGAGGACGGTTCCGGTTCGTAAACATTTCCTAAGCGCTTAGCTTCAATTATTAATTGCCGTTTGTCCTCATTTACGAGACGCACTGAGGTTACTAAGCTAGCCTTCTCCTCTTCAAGTATTTTAATTTTTGTATTTAAATCAGAGGTAATATAGACTAAGTTGTTCATGCGTTCAAGGTATTCGGCGTTTTCTTTCTTAAGAATTGCATTTTCAGAGCAAATAAGTTCGTATTCTTTTCTAAGTGTGTGTAGTTCAATATATGCAGTATCATTCGATGAGGATTGACATACGGTTTCAAGGTTAGCTATGGCAGTTTTGTTTTGTTCCATAACACCCTTAAGCTGTTGAATTTGAAGCTTGAAGTCATTAATCGCTTCAACAAATTTATTGTTATTATGCAAATTTGAATTTGAAGTATCAAACCTGTTGCACGTTTCTCCCTCCTTGAAGCTTGAGTTTGATTGTTTTGATCCAATTGGTAATATAGGGACTAATAGGAAGCTTCTTCAGCTTATTGCATAAAATCTCGTGCGGTACAGTGTCGAAAGCTTTACTGAAATCAAAAGAGAAGGCGCGTACCATACTAGCATTACCATCCAACCATTTGATAAGATAGGATAGAAACCGCAATGGAGGAGGAGCGGCTATCTACTAAGGGATGTTATTCCTCATACTTATAGAGCTGACTTAATTCCAGTTAATGCAGAGGCAATTTGTCTTGAAATTAAAAAACCGAAAGCTAAGCCAGTTCTAATTAGTACTAGCATTACCATCCAACCATTCCATCCAGGTATGTTGCGCTTTTATTAGGGCCATTGTAGAGCTATAACCTCTTTTATATGCAAACTGATCTTTATGGATGGCGTTTTCCATCACCTGGACTAATTCAGTTGTATAGATTGCTCTTTCAAAAAGGCGAACAATTATATTGGTCAACGAAATGGGTCGTAATTGATTTGATTCTGTCAGAGGAGATTCTTTGGGGACAGGTAAAAGATTTGCTAATTTCCAACTGTCAGGAACAATGCCCAGTTTGATTGAGCTGTTAAAAATTATGGTTATCACAGGCGCAATATCATATGCATAGGTGTTCCAAAACCAATGTGGTAACTCATCTGGACCCGAGGTGGTTCGTTTCTGATTTAACAGTAGTTTACAAACAGTATGGACGGATAATTCAGGTACTCTTGTGCCACGGGGAATAGGGAGAGGTTGAGGGGTAACATAGTCAGGATCTGTATTAATAGTTTGAAAATGCTCATTCATTACCTTTGGATCAATAATGAGGCTCAATGGTACTTCATTATTGCCACGACCAGTTATTTTGTTAAAGGGACACTCCACCCCCAGAACAAGTGTCGCTCATAAGAAAGCTTTATATGAGCCTACCTTGGAATGAATATTCGTTCGCCTCAATTCTTTTTCGTTTGCGAGAAATTTAACTTTGTTTCACTGATTTTTCGTCCATTGTCGCCGCCATGTTTGTTGAATCCGCGGGTGGTCCTATGAGTGCCGTGACGTAAGTGTGTGATAGAAACACTCAGTCTTTGATGTAAACACTATAAATTAACAGCTTCGTAGTTCATTTCGGTGTGATTTTGGGTAAATAAATTATGTTATTGATCGTTTATTCTCTTACTGATCATTTTAAATTATGGCCCGATCGAGTACTAGCAGCTCTTCTGAAGTAGACGAAGATATATCACCGAATAATGTAAAATTTGAAACGGACGAAGCAAAGTTTTCGCTTCAGCCGTATTTATTCGAACCTACGATTAAGAAAGGCTCCAGTTACAGCATGCAGGGTCTGTCTTCCATATTACTGTCCCAATATGATGTCGGAAGGAGTTAAGATGATGGTTGTACATTTTTTTAGAACATGAACTCGTATAAATTACACAATTTAATATTATAAATATATGCAGCAAATAAAAATATGCACAACATATTATATTATTGAAGTGTTTATGCTTTATTTGTGTCTACTAACGTACAAATGTTCAGAAAGTTAATTCTGCCACAATATGAAAACTACAAAATATAAATTACATAATGTACAAGTTTTTTATACTACAAATACATGCAAGCGTTCATGGCTTGCTTAATACCTCTTGTCTGGCTTGTTCAGAGCGGATTTGATTTCTTCTTCGTCCTGTGCTTCTAGCTTTTTCTGGCTTACTGCGCGGAAATATAGATGGCACCGCGTCTGATTTTAGCTTTGGCCTTTTTTGGTAGCCAGGCACAAGATCGAGCGTTCTTTCGAAGCAGTCTGGTGTAAAATGCGCCGAATTAATTCTTTATATCGCGTGGATTTACTCAGACTGCGAATTCTCGCCAACCACGCTTCTCGCAAACCTTTTTCTTTTGGAATTCTGTGGTAGCTGATTCCCACAGTTTTCCGTACACTCAGGAACCATGCAATGAGGCATATTCGGTTAAAAAATATCTAAAAGGAAACTCTATTGACTAAAGCTTGATTATACAATTTGTTTCGAAGCAAATCTGATTATACAATGTGTTTCTATCACACACTTACGTCACGGCACTCATAGGACCACCCGCGGATTCTACAAACATGGCGGCGATAATGGATGAAAAATCAGTGAAACAAAGTTAAATTTCTCGCAAACGAAAAAGAATTAAGGCGAACAAATATTCATTCCAAGGTAGGCTCATATAAAGCTTTCTTATGAGCGACACTTGTTCCGGGGGTGGAGTGTCCCTTTAACTAATGACCACCATCTTTTAGATCAACAATTTTGGCTCTTATTTTCTTGTTTAACTGCTTTGAGTTGATTGCTCCGAATGAGTTTATTAATCCTTTCTTGTAGGCGATGACTGCACTCGTTATCTCTCTTGCTAATGGCTTTTTCCTCAGCTTTAAGAGATGCTTAACTATTGGAGAAAGAAAAGGAGGGTCTCGAGTCTACTTTGAACAAATGATGACGAGGATGTCCAGTATCTTCTATTTTGGAAGAATAAGAAGTATCTAGTCCATTGTTGTTCTTTATCCAATCCAGCACGTCAATCTGAAGTTCAAAGACAAAACAGTAAGAGGGTTGGATTGCGACGGAAATGCAACAGATTGAGCTACGTAACGTACGTTTACACGCTACGAATTGTCGTGTACGATTCGTATTCTGGCGTTTTAAAATGAGTCATAATTCATTGCCGTTTCGTTGTAGCCAGCTTAAGCGTGTTTACTCAATGACATATGCCAGAGAACGAATCGTACACGATTAATCGCAGCATGTAAACGTAGCTTTAGATCTGACTAGCATGATCACCAGATTCTTCTGAGCGAACGGAAAATCGTAAATAGTGTATTTGAAAGTAAAAGTATAAAACTGCATATAAAGTAAAACTAGAGATAACACAATTCACAATACACAACAGTCGTTGCTGTTCATAAAATGTTGAAATCCAGCTGGTGGATAAAAACACCACATTATGAAAAGGTTATAAAAGAATGATCTAGCAACGATTGAAGCTGACGTAGGGGTTCGAAATTTCAGGAAAAAACCCATTCTTATATCCGAAATCCGGAAAGATAATCAAAATTTGACTAAAAAACATGAAAATGCAGATGCTTTAAATTTACATTTCAACGAAGTTGCATCCCGCGCTTGGTTAAAAACATGCCAAAAAACTAATTGCGATAATTATAGACCAATCTCGGTTCTATCCTCAGTTGCTAAAGTATATGAGAAATTAGTTACAGAGCAACTAGAAATTTATCTTGAAACTAACCACACTTGTAGAACAACAACTAAGCAGGATTTAGGAAAAATCACTCCACACAAACTTCTCTACTTAACATCACAAACCAGTGGCTAATGAATATGGATAATCGTTTGTTAAATGGAGTGATTTTTTTATCTCAAGAAAGCGCTTGACTGTGTTGACCATAATATATTGTTAAAACAAAATGTATTGTTATGGAATAAGAGGTCATACGCTTGCTTGGTTCCAGTCCTATCTTTCTAGCAGGATTCATATATGCAAGATAGATCAAACAATGTCCAAAACAAGAGCAGTTAAATGTGGAACACCTCAAGGTTCTAATCTTGGGCCACTTCTGTTTTTATTATATATAAACGACCTGCCAAATCTGTCGACCTGTCTTCAGCAAGCATGTGTGCCGATGACATAAATATATCAACCAATGGCAAGACAAATGACGAATTACAATAGGGCACTAACGTGAACTTAGAAAATGTACACCAATGGTTACTTGCAAACAAACTTGCACTTAACAAAGATAAAACTGAATACATGATTATTGGCTCAAGACAACGAATTTCAAACTTAGTAATGGACCCTAAAATTGAACTTGGTGAATCAGTCATTAAACGGGTTTACAAATCAAAAACTTTAGGCGTAATTATTGATCAACATCTTTTATGGAATCATCAAATCCAAAATACTGTCACAAAAGCTTTAAAAGGAATAGGAATGATGCGACGAATATAACAGTTTGTTCCCAAATCAACCTTAGTAAAAATATATGATGCCATTGTGTTATCACACTTTGATTATTTTAGCTCGGTTTGGAATAACCGTTGTGATTACCTAAAAAACAGACTTCAGAAATTACAAAACAGAGCGGCCCAAATAATCGCTGGTAAAACTTATGAAGTTAGTTCCGAGGATGTTTTAAAAGAATTACGCTGGCAGCCTTTAAACCAACGTTATAAAACCAATAAATTAATTTTTATGCACAGAATACGAAACGAAAAAATGCCATCATCAATTTCCAAATTAGAATAAATGACAAATATGATTTAAGAAGTAACAATAAAAACTATGATCTTGGAAAACCCGAAACAAATTTTATGAAAAAGAGTATTAGTTGTTCAGCTGCAGCATCCCTTTGGAATGACTTATCAATTACAGTAAAAGAAAAAGGCATTAGCTTTAACAAATTTTCAAAAACGTATTCTTGACGGCATTTGATTCAATTTGGTAACTGTGTAAATATTTAAATAGATAGGATATATTCCGAAACAAATGTAGTGCATTCAATTATTAAGTTCGTTATGTTTTCTCTGTTTTTATGTATATATTTGTGTTATTATATTTATAGCTTGTAAATACTTGTACTGAAACGTCCTCTTGAAAAACAGGTGCCTACGAGCCCCGAAGATCTACCGTTGTAAAATATTTTTAAATAATATCCTAATAATAATAATAATCCATGTTTTTTCGGTTAGACGACCGGCCAACATCCTGAAAGTTACCTCTGATAGCATTTTTTGTTACAAGCTGCCAACTGGCATTATCTTGGAGTAGTAGATGCATTAATAGAGAAGACAACAGGTGGGAAATTTGCCGTCGCTGACCAAAAAATCGCGGGCAGAAACAAAGCTTCTTGCATTTACATTCAAAACAAAGCAGAAAGTTAGCAAGAAGCTGTTTTAGCTGACGATTTTTTTCTTTTGCTATGAATTCTTTGTTTTGGGATGATTTGTTTAAATTTGTAATCGATTTATTGGAAGAAGTTAATATGGCGACGTGAACATGGGAGTAAATACCGTATACGTCGATCTGTGGCTTGTTTAAAACCGTAATAAACAAAGAAAGACGTGATATGAGAATGAAATGTAAGTTGAAATTAACTTTATATGCCTCAAATTTTCCATCCTATGTTTCTTAATTGTAACTTCAGCTGTCTAAGTTCAAAATACAAGCTCGCGAAATTTGACAAATTTTGAAAATATGTAAAAATAGCTTGACTTTGAACTGTATTTTCTCAAAAATAGCCCATGGCCTCAATTTCAAATATTTTATAGCTAAATGAAAAGAAAAATCTTTTCGGCGTTTGTAGGTATCAAACATATCGTCAGGAAAATAGGGGCTCACAATGTTTTAGCTGAGTCTTTGAGACCCAGTTGCTTCGCACGTGTTGTGGTCAAATTTTTGCCAAGAATCAAAGGCCGAAATGTGAACTTCCTTGATGAAACCCGGCTCGATAAGGGTCTAGTTTGAAAATTTAGCTATTAATTTCGATTTTATGAGCATATTTTGGTTACACGTTAAATATTATTGTACTTGATGAGATTCAAAATTTGGTGTATATTCAAGCCCGGCTTTAGTGTAATTTTGGTGATGCCCGGAACAGAAAAAAAGATATTTTAAAAATTGGCCGTGGCCTCACGATTAATTTAGATCATGTCCATTTTCAACATAAAACAGTCATTTATTTTGTACAAACATTTGGCAATATTTACACGATTGTGCCTTTTTATAAACACGCGGTGCGTGTATTCCACTCAATTGCGTGACTCGTTTTGCCCACGCATGCTCAGACAAATTTCCCACCTGTTAGAGAAGACTATTTATGTTGGCACCTCTTGATTTTGGCTTTATAGGCGAAAATGTGAGGATTTTAAAATGTTGGTTATCTTTCCATGTTTCGCGCACCAATATAAGTTAGGGTTAGGGGTTAGGTATTAGGTTAGGGTTAGGTTTAGGTTAGGGATAGAGTGTGTATATATGTATATGGAGGTATCCAGTTAACTTTTCAGTACACTATAATATCCATTACATAACGTTTACTATATTGGTGCGCGAAACATGGAACGATTACCAAAATATTGCCTATTAATACAATAATAAGTTATAGCCCGCCGACATACCGCAGGTACATGTGAACCAGGCTTCAAATTATTTTGCACGAGTATGAATCAGAATAATGTTTTCTTGAAAAATGGAAAAAATCTCCCACAAGACAAATGTTATTTATGATAACATGGGGGAAACATTGATTTTTGGGACAACTACATTTGATCCAAACGTAAAACATTATTACGTAAAACATCACATGCGCATTTTTACAAATACATTTACTGTTTTTGGTGCATTAAATGATAGATTGCGCATATGCAACCGATTAAAGAATCGGTTGCGTATGCGTAATCTATCATTTAATGCACCAAAAACAGTAAAATGTATTTGTATAAAATCGCAGACTGCACGAGCGTAACTTAAATGTGTTGCAACAACTCAGGGATCGGATGAGGGTATTGACGAACCTGTTAATGTTGCTGTACCTTGCATTGTTCCTTGTTTTGTGCTCATGTATGGATATGCCACGTCATTTTGACGCCATTTTCACGTCGTCTTTGACGTCCGCGTCCTCGATCTAAATCTGTCTCAGGGCGCTCATATAGATGGCGGTGAAACGCGCTGATATCGCGCTGATCGATGTGTGATGCGGAAAAGGACTGGCACGAGCGTGCTTTTCGGCAAAAGTTGACAAGGAGCGTGATTTTTCCTGCTGTTGTATTTTTGCTGTTTTTTCATTAATTACGAAATTCTTGAGGATGTTTTTGCACTGTAACGACGAAGTAGTAACTAGTGTATCGTACGAATGCTTGTTTGGCCTGTATAGTTAAATTTTGAAAGAAATATTGAGGATAATGAGTCGGGCTTTTGATGACTTCAATGAAGGGAAATTTTCAAAACAGCATTTGGGCATGTTATCAAGTCGTCCAAACTTCGAAATTCAGTTGATGGTAAAGATTATAATTATGTGCTTATCTCCAAAAGTTTTCATAAGACTCGGAGTTGAGCAATTGAATATACAGCGTTGGAAAGTGAGGTATTTTTGTGTGTTAAATTTTGCCTAATCAGACCATTATTTCGCTGCAAAAAAATAAAAAACAATTGTATTTTGGCCATGTCATGATTTTTGGTTATTATGTTAATAATTTTGTACGACTTTTAAGGCATTCAATTGAAGTAATTCTGAGCAGTAAACATATTTTACTTCTTGGCATTTGAATCAAAATACGACTCGCTCGGACGTTTGTTGAGCGCAATAGTCGAAAAAGTTTCGTCCTAGCCTACGGTGTAGACCCCAGCAGAAACGCGTTTCGTGAGGGGTCTACGAATAAACGAAGAAAAGCTTGCCCAGCACGTCATATCCGTTTTACGTTTTGGGTAAATTAACTTCAATTTATTCAAATTTCTGAAGCGTGCGCAAATTTTCATTTGACGCTTATTAAAATGTTCCATGGCGGTTATTTGCTTCAAAGTCCCATCGAATAAAAGCGTTATTAATTTCTTGGACAGCAAGGAGAACATACGTAAGGAGTTAGACGACCTTTCCTTCTCCATTTCACATACAAATAACATTTGTAAAGCATGCCTGGCGTTGGTAAACAAACGGTGAAACGGAGAAGCTTCAAAGAACGGTTTAATATGTGAGCTAGACAACACGATAACGAACGTGCACGAAACAGCATTAAACCCTATTGGTATACCGCTTCAAGTAATCGAAATGTGCGGAAACTGGGATTCAAGCCGACTTGCGATAAAACGTTTATGCCGGCTGCATTTAGTATAGTGCGAATTCAACTTTGCTTTCGACTTCAGAAATTGGATGTCTTGACAAGCTTCAAGCCTTCAACAGCCTAACAATTTGTACTTTTTAGTCTGTTTGGACATGTTAATGGTTGAGTATATATATAGTCGGGTATATTTTATTGCACAAGGTCCGGCCTAGCCATGGAGCATTTTAATAAGCGTCAAATGAAAATTTACATTTACGCACGCTTCAGAAATTTGAATAAATTAATACACCGATTCAGCAAAAAAGCAACGCTGCATGGAAACGAGGCTTAATAGCCCTTGACGCTTGAGCATATCCAAGATGGCGGATGAACTAGCAGCGGCAGCTGGGGGAAAAATTGCAGCGAAGAAGAAAAAAATGGGACATAAATGTTGTGCAGCTGCCAATTGTAATTTTCGAAGTGACAATCGTCCTGATTTGTCTTTTTATGAGTTTCCAAAGGATGATTACTTAAAAAAGAAGTGGGAAGTCAAAATGCGAAGAGGAGACGCTACTTTCAAAAACATTGCGAATAAGTTTTGTTGTTCTGCGCATTTTTTGCCATCGGATTTCAAACAGAGTTTAACGGGGCATAGGCGAGTAAAGAGAGGAGCAATCCCTTCAGTGTTTAAATGGGCACCAGTAACTAGTGACCCCAGAGGAGAACGTTTAAAATTGCGAAACGAAATGATTGCCAAATCTAAATCTGAACAACAAACCGAGCATGGACCTGACGAGCAGCAACTTGCAGGTTCATCAATATCATCTTATTCATCTGGCAGAAATATGGTTGTTTTTGGCCCTCGAACACTCGAAGAATTTATCAATGAAAAGAAAGAAGAAGCAGAGCAGCTGAAAGCAGAACTTACTAGAGCCAAGGAGAAAGAATATATTTTTACGTTTGGTCTGGAAAGATTCTCAGGTAGTAATGAGGACATAAACTTTTACACAGGATTTCCTGACTATCAAACGCTGATAGAATTCTGGAAATACATAGAACCTAATAGTTCTAGATTAACATACTACAGTTATCTTAAGAATTCCACTGATGTTAATTTTAACAATGCATTTCCATACCTTAATTTAACTAAAAAAAAGTTTCCTGGTAGTAGTGTAGGTGCTCAACGCAGTCTTCAGCCTATAGATGAGTTTTGGCTTTTCCTAACTCGACTCAGAGTGGGTCTGTTAGAGCGTGACTTGGCTTTCAGGTTTAATATCTCTGTGCCAACAGTATCAGACATAATTATATAACTTGGAGTAACTACATGTATATGCTTGGGAGCTTGCCAGTATGGACTTCAAGCGAAGTAATTAAGTTACACCTACCTGAAGCCTTTAGAGGGCGATTTGAAAATGTAAGGTGCATCATAGACTGCACAGAGGTTAAGTGTGAAAAACCCCAAGATCTTCAGAAGCAAAGTGAATTTTATTCTGAGTACAAAGCACACAATACTTATAAGGGATTGGTAGGCATATCTCCTAATGTTTGGGTTACATTTGTAAGCAACCTGTATGGAGGTAGCATATCTGACAGAGAAATTGTGGAGAAAAGTCACTTTATTGATCTGTTAGAACACCCTGATGTAATTATGGCAGATCGTGGCTTTGAGATACAGGATATTTTAGCAACCAAACAAGTGAGACTGTTCATCCCACCAAAGAGGCAGTCCAAAATGGATCAGTTTTCAAAAGAGGATTGCTTTGAGACAATGAGAATTGCTAATGTTAGAATACACATAGAGCGTGCAATTAGGCGGGTAAAGGGATGGCACATTTTTGACCAAGTACTACCTTTAAGCATGAATGGTGTAGTTAATCAGATTTGGACTGTATGTTGTCTGCTAGTAAACTGGCAAAAACCTGCCCTTACATGCTAAATTAAACATGAACCAAATTCAAATTCATCTTATTAATTATTGAACAAAGCTATTAAATTGTTACATTTATTGTTATGTTAATAATATTATGTTATGTTAATTAATTAATAATACAGTATATATACAACAATGTTAATCTACTGTACTTACTGTAATTAAACAATGTAACCTTGAACACAACACTTGTTTCCTTTTATTGAGAAAAATCATATCGGTCAAGCCCATCCCTCAGTCTAGGATAGGCCAATTCTGGCAAAATGTATGAATCATAGAATAATTCAAGATTAGCAAACTTTTCAATCCACCATTTTGGATCATATGGAACCCTTTTGCAATAAAGTTCTCCATTACTTGCTCTGACCACAAAATCACACAATGTTCTGTTTACAACATATAACTGCTGTTGCATTTGGTAATAATACATATGCCTCTTATTAACCATCCCATCTTTTTTGCATATTGATTTTCTTACTAAAGCTAATGATAAATCTTCACTGTCTTTAACAATGATATTCTTCACCTCTATTATTCCCAGGGGATTCTCAACACTAGGATCGGTAACAAGACCATCAGGAGAAGCACCTATAAACCCATGATGTTTTGATACAAAAAAAACACAATCTTCAACTTTAAAGTCACAGTGACCTTCTTGTTGCATTTTTTTTACATAATCAGTAACTGCTAGTTTTTCGTTTTTAATTCCATCCCTCATAGCATTTGTTTGGACACTAGGGTTGTAGTTTAAAACCTCTTTTACAATTTTGGAAGGTGAAGTGCTAGACTTATGTGGACAAGCCACCCTGTGGCATTTTGAAGCTGTAACTCGGCCAAATCTGTAGGCAAACCACTTCGGATTATCAGATTGCCCCCGGGTCTCTTTTTCTATTTTTTTTTATTTCATTTTCTGACACAAAAAGTTTACACTTAATTTTCTTACACCGTTCACTTATTTCATCTAGGCTAAGTGGTTGTTGCTTTGGTGGAGATATTATATGATATTTTCCCTGTGAAATTTCCTGAGTATTTTTTGCAGTATCAAAACTCTTACTTGTATCATGTGTTTTAGAGAATGTGTTGGAAGACACATTTGATTTCATTAAAGTTTTAGGATGCAGTACAGATGTGCTTTTTCCTTGAGCAGACTGTTTACTCTCAGTGGTCTTGTTACTGAAATCCTTAAGTTGCAAGTCAAGTACAGAACCTTTTGCAATTGAACCAACTATAGAATCTACAAGTTAGAATAATATCATTAGAATTAGGGGTCATTTTAGCAAAAGGAATACTTGGATTTGTTGCACTTAAATTATCTCTAAATTTCTCAACTGATTCTGGAGATAGCTTTCTATATTTGCTGGGGCGTGGATCAAATAAGGTAGGGAATACACCCCTCCTCTTTCTGCCAGGTGTATCTAAAATATGTCTTGGCTTGACAAGCTTAGAAGCCATCACAGCTTCATGCAGCGCAACAACATCCACTTCGGCCAGCAGGACAAATTTTGTCACACTCTGCTGCTACGATTTTTGGACTTCCTCGTGGGTTTACAATCATTCGAACTTTTTACTTGACACATTTTCTATAAGATGCCCAACATAAAGCTCTAAGATAAACAACATCTCCTTCGCCAGCTTTGCTAACTTCCATATCGTGCACAAATGAAACCATTCGAAGTCATTTCGAACTTGACATCTCAGCAATAGCGTCACCATCAACAGATTTTTTGGTTGACTTCCCGCACTTTTGAGTATGATCTAGGGTATCTGTTGGAAAAAATACTGGTAGTATGGAGAAGTCTTTGTTGAAAGCACTGTCATCCGAAGGAAACTTCCCCAAACTGGCAGAAGCATCGTTTTCCACTTCCGCATTTGAACAATTTATGCATGCCGTTTTCCTTGAGTTTGGCCAGCTTAGCCTTAGTGAATGCTTTGTTTGGATCAGGGTCAAATACCTTCTCCCTCACTTCAGGCATAACATTGAGATTGCACACCCTAAAAAGCGAGTACTAGTCAAGCAAAATGTATTGTGCGAACACAAACATTGCCCAATCATCATACTGATCATAGCGATCATCATCATGTGTGAACGCAGTACGCTTACCTTCCAAAAAGCTCCTTTTTATTCCCGCCCTGTTTCACCCTACGACACTTTAGCCAGAATTTCAGTTGATTAACATTTAACTTTCCGATATCCTTGTCATTAACAGAAGCACCAGGGATGTCTTCTGGTTTTAATTCGACTGTGAAATCGTCTAATCGCACATCAGCACAAATATTTTCTGCCGCCATTTTGGATATGAAATTGTGCCAAGGGCTATTAAGTCTCGTTTCCGTGCAGAATTAATTTTTTCCTGAATCGGTGTATTAAGCAGTTAAAAATAACATGTATAGTGTTATTTTCATGCTTATATCTTTAAAGTGTGACTTTTACTGCCGAATACTACATTTCTGTTCCGAATTTGCAATAATCCAAACCGGAAATACGAGAAAAAATCGTCAAAACAATGCGACGCTTGTATCACGTGACTCTGGAAATGCCAGAAATGGATTCTACAGGTCAAAGTGCACCCATACGTGTGAGTTTGACGTCATCCCGGCTAAAGGAACTCCTTATTGGCCAAGTATTATGCAATACACGCGCGTGCGAGCAAAACCCGATACCTTGAAAAATTCAAAATAAATATTTCTACTCGCCGTATTCATACGAAACTTTCTACACGAAAGCGCTTGAATATAAAGAGTATTTTACACCTATATCCTTTCAGAAAATGACGCCAAATTTTAGAATATATTCAACTTTTTCTCTTTTTCTCGTTTGAATGTTTGGCGAAGCGGTGAGTATAAATATATGATTGTTTTGGTTTGTGTAATGTTTTGACGGCACTTGACCCCCCGTTCGAAAGGTTATATTGTGAGGATTTCAATGGTGGCATTTATTTAAAAGGGGGGTAAATACTCGACAAGATATTTATATTAGAAAAATTGAATCGAAATGTAATGCAAAACCGGCCTGTCGAGAAAGAGTTAATGACATAATGTCATGTGGAATGTGTGTCATTCGCTACTTGTTCTGAAACAAATTTATAACTTGATCAAATAGAGCAGAAATCAATTCAAAGTAGCTAAAATTGCTAAATTTACGGCTTATATGCAAGACATATAGCACTTATTGAACAGATTAATACGAACTTTGTGTCAGATTACTAGGTGTTTATGCATGTTTTTTTGTTGGATTGCTAGGTGTTTTTTACGGTTTATTTAAGGTTTCCTTTAATTGCGTCACAACATTCCTTTAAAAAAATAGAGGCAGATGCGCGGCCAGGATGAAACATAATAATAAAATAGACGCTCTACCAATCTGTAGCCTTCAAAGGGTACGAGTGTATGAAATATGAAAATATAGTCTATTATTGTATATACAGAAAGATTAGCATAATTGCGTATGAAATATGAGTGTGTATTGTCAACTATGACTGCTTTTTTATAAGAACAGTATATTGTCTGGGAAGTGGACATGAATTGTTGTCAGCATCAGTTGTTAAGGCTGTATGCCATGACTCTAGAGTTTTCCGGGTCCTAAAATTTCCCTTATCGATAACTTCCACGTTTTCAAAGTCAATTCTGTGGTCATAAGTCCATGCATGTTTTGCTACATTAGATCCAGTCTTGTGATTCTTTACATTTCTTACGTGTTCCGATTTTCTTGTCTTCAGCAACCTTCCGGTTTCTCCTATATAGCTCCATGGACAACTTTGACACAGTATACGATAAACCATGTTTGTCTGATTTTCGGATGAAGGTCGCTGTTTTGCGGATGGAAATTCTTGCTGGAGGGTTTTCATTGGCTTGTTGCAAACGTCTACATTGTGCTTTTGTAGTAAACTTGTAAGAGGTTCCGTGAGGCCTTTGATGTAGGGCAAAACTGCGTATCCGGTGGGTTGTGTTTTTCCTTCAACCGATTCAAAAAACGTTCTGACTAATTCTTCAGGAGACGGAGTTGGTGCATCTCTTTGTTGTTGAGTGATTCTCGTAACCAAGTTTTTGGGATAGCCATTGAGTGTGAGAGCTTCACAAACATGATTTAATTCCTGGATTTTGCATGTGTTGCTTGGTAAATGTAAAGACCTATTAATTAGAGTTTTGGGCTCAATTTCCATATAAAGTTCCCGAAATGACGTCAAAAGCAATTATCTTATATACATTCTTATATGAAGTAGCCCCTCATTGATGTTATAGTTTCAAGCTTAATCAATGCTACTGTGGTTATTGCCGTTATAGCTGTTATTGCAATTATTGGTGTTATTTCCGTTATTGGTGTTATTGGTGTTATTGCTGTTATTGGTGTTATTGCAGTCATTGGTGTTATTGCCGTTATTGGTGTTATTGCCGTTATTGGTGTTATTTCCGTTATTGCCGTTATTGGTGTCATTGCAGTTATTGTCATTATTGGTGTTATTGCAGTTATTGGTGTTATTGCAGTTATTGGTGTTATTGGTGTTATTGCCGTTATTGGTGTTATTGCCATTATTGGTGTTATTGCCGTTATTGGTGTTATTGGTTTATTGGTGTTATTGCAGTTATTGCAGTTATTGGTGTTATTGCCTTTATTGGTGTTATTGCCTTTATTGGTGTTATTGCCGTTATTGGTGTTATTGCCGTTATTGGTGTTATTGCCGTTATTGGTGTTATTGCCGTTATTGGTGTTATTGGTGTTATTGGTGTTATTGCAGTTATTGGTATTATTGCAGTTATTGCCGTTATTGGTGTTAGGCCCGGTTTAGACGGCGAACTTCTCATGCGCCGAATCTAATGCAAGAATTAAGTGCGACGCTGGAGCGGCGTCTAAATCAATTAAGTTCGACAGGTTTTGATTAAGTTCGACATGACTCGAAGATGCGACAAGACAAGGCGTATATGCGACACAGGTTCGACATTGATTTAGACGCCGTGCTTTTCATGCACCGAACCTAATGCATAATTATTTTTTAACATCATAATATGATTATCATATATTTGCATTGTAAATATGTCCAATATCGTGTCTCGCAATTTGGTACGGTACAATTAAGTTCGACATCTAAATCAGCTTCCGATATTTTGCCGTATCTACGACAATTAGATTCGTCGCATGAAAAGTTCGCCGTCTAAACCGGGCCTTATTGCCGTTATTTGTGTTATTGCTGTTATTGGTGTTATTGCCATTATTGTTGTTATTGCTGTTATTGGTGTTATTGGTGTTATTGCCGTTATTGGTGTATTGCCGTTATTGGTGTTATTGCCGTTATTGGTGTTATTGCCGTTATTGGTGTTATTGCCGTTATTGGTGTTATTGCCATTATTGTGTTATTGCCGTTATTGTAGTGATTCGTGTTATTGCCGTTATTGCAGTTCAATGAGTTATTGCCGTTCAGGGGCATAGGAACCAGGCGGCACCTCTGATCTAATAGTAGACTGGATATAGCTTCTCTAGGTGTGAAAAGTGAAGCCAAATTATATATGCGAAAATCACTTCCGGGGACCACGGAGTGATACAAATTACTATAGAAATGTGTGGCGAACAACGTGAACCAAGGTGAATTTTCCCGAATTTGAGATACTTTGCGAAGTTTTACCAAGCTCATCGCTCCACCATGGATAAAAGATATTATGTTAATGCTTTTAAAACGAAAATTATCCAGATTGCCCTAAAATATTGTCAGTTTTATTCGTTCAAAGTTG